GGCCCCGCCGGCTCCTCTGCCCCCCAGGGAGGCCAGCCCCCGGCGGTGGCCCCACCATTGGGTGTGGGGACACTGCGGCCACGGGCGCAGGGTCCGGCCGGGCTGGCAGTGCCACCCAGCATGAGCTGGCCACCGCTAACTGACTTCTCCTGCCCCTTCCAGCGACGCCTTCGATTTCAAGTACGGTGTGTGCTTAATGAGAATGAAGGAGGGGCTGAACGTTTCCCAAGTGATGCAGGCTCACGGTGAGTGGTTTAGGGCAGCCGGGGATGCTCGGAGACGTGCCAGAGCTGTAGGATGTGCTGGCTGACACCGTGTCCCCAGGCAAAGGTCACAGTCCTGGGGGACATCACCCCTGGGCTGGGACCGAAGGGGATGGGGACAGCAGGAGGCTGCCCTACTGCCCGCGCTCCTCTCCTCCCTCCCCAGTTAACCCCACGTTCAAGGCAGCAGAGCACCCCGAGAACGGCGCCAGCGGCAGAGCAGCACCAGGCGCAGGTGGGTCCTGGCGCAGGGCTGCCCGGGGCATCCCCAGCTCCAAGAATTATTTTTGGGGAGTCAGGTTTGCAGGCAGGGGTGTGGGTTTTGAGCAGTGATGGGGAGCAGGGGTGGGACCAGGAGAAAGCGGTGCTTGTAATCCACGGCCGGCAGTGCCCCCTGCTGAGGCTGGGACCCTCTTCCCTGGCAGTGGATGCTGCTGCCTTAGCCGGCGAGCAGCAGGCGAGCACAGTCTTCCAGAGCGAGCAGGGCAAGAAAACCATCGACATTTACTGGCTCTTCGATGACGGAGGTAACCTTCACCTTTGGCTGCTGCGGCTCTTCACCATCTGTCTGTCCAGCTAACGTGAACCCAGCGCCTCCATCGCGGTGCCCAGGAGGGCTGGGTCCTTGCCGCATGGTACCAGGGCATCCCTGGCATCTGGCATCAAGAAAGAGCCAGCAAGCCCATGGGGCCACCACCGCTGTGTGTCCCATCGGGTGTTTTGGGGACAGGTCTCACGCTGCTCATCCCATATCTCCTGGGGCGCAAGAAGCGGTGGGGAAAGTGCAAGATCCGGGTGTTCGTCGGTGGGCAGATCAACAGGATGGATGAGGAGAGGAAGGCGTAAGTGCTGGTGGCCGCTCACGCCCCGAAGACCCTCTGAGCCACGTGGCCACTGCCACTGTCCCCAGGGGCGGGTGGCAGGAGCTGCTGCTCCCCCCAAGCACCCCAGGCTTTGCCATAATGGATCTGTGGGCACTCCCCTGGCTGTTTTGCCTCACTCCTCCAAAAATCAGTGATTGAGGGGTGAGAAAATCCCAAGTGCAAACCGAGGACAGCAGCAGGGGTTTCGGCCAGGACAGGTCCCTGCCGGAGCCGCTGTGCCCTGGTCATTTTTGGAAAGTGTCTCCTTTTCCCTCTGGTAGGATCATCTCTCTGCTGAGCAAGTTCCGTCTCGGCTTCCATGAGGTCCACATTCTCCCCGACATCAACCAGAAACCCCGGCCAGAGCAGTAATCGCCC